GGGGGTAGATTAAAGGATATTGGGTTTTAGTATTAGTTTGGGTTTTTAGTGTTGTATCGTGTTTTTAGGCTCTCACTCTTTGGGCTTATTTGGTGATTGATAGAGATTCAAATATGCTTTCACTACATAACAAGTGATTTATTAAGATGGGTTGGGTTGCAATTTCTAAAATCTATGAGGGGGAAAATAAAAAAAAAGAATTTTTTAAAAGAGACTGAATTTGATAAATATATAGCAAAAACGACCGTTTTGGTAAATATTTAGCAAAATCGATCACTTTTTTGCCAGCTCAACAAAGCTGGCCAAAAGGAGGTCGATTTTACAAAATATGGATTTCAAAACACACGTGTGTGTTTAAGAGCTGCTAATCACCCTTCAAACAGCCCACAGAAACCCACGGGATAAGTACTCATCCCAATCCATGGGTTTCTAATCGTTCGATATCAACCTAACACTCACCACCCAAATTCCACAAGTACTCATCCCAATCCATCTCAATCCCCAAATTCCCCTTCAACCTCCAAATCCTAGAAAATCCTAGAAGACGGCCATGACCACCACAACTAAAGTTCTCCATTATTGTCTCCAACCTTGGCTTCCACTCATTCAACCTACACCCCACCAGTTGCTTGCACTCCTTCTCCTGCTCTTTGCTATTGCCATCATCCACAAACACTCATCCTTCAACCCTTACCATCCCCTTCTTCGTCTTCTTGATGTCGAAGCTCCTGACAAAAGAGGAGGATGAAACAAGGGTGACGAAGGAGAGGACGGAGTGGAAGAAGCAAGAGGGGAAGAGGAAGTAGGAGTTGCATGGCTGGAGCTTGTCCGATTTGGAGAGGGCGGGGACTTTGCGGCCGAGGAAGAGGGAGTCGGAGCGACAGATGAGTGGAGGGGATGCTATTACATGAGGAAAGATGTCGGGATCGCATGGTCGAAAAGGTTCACGCGGCCTTCGGCTGTGATAAGGCGGATGGGGGCGACGGAGAAGGAGAAGAAATAGCAAGGAAGGAGGTGGTAGAGGGAGAGGGGGTTTGGTAATGCCCATGGCTGGTTGGTCAAGAGGAAGAGGTTGTGGATTGGGACTGTTAACTCCTATATGGCCTCTGAACTTGGAATTTTAGCAGGGAGCAGGGGAATAAAATCCTCGCCAGTCGATTTCGAAGGGATTACTTACCCCAAAAGTAGGCCTGTTAATTCCCATATGGCCTCTAGAGCTTGGAAATTCAGCCGGACCCATGGAGCTTGGAAATTCAGCCGGACCCATAGGACACGATTAACAAGCCCTAAACACACATGACTAGTAGTACCGTGTGTTTTGAGATTCATATTTTGCAAAATCAACCTCTTTTTGACCAGTCTTGGTGAGCTGGCAAAAAAGAGATCGATTTTGCTAAATATTTAGCAAAACGGTCGTTTTTTGCTAAATATTTACTAAATTGGGTCTCTTTCAAAGAATTCTCTTAAAATATAAGGGTTTAGGATAATTTGAAAAGTTCTAGAGGTGCAATTGCACCCCTAGGGAACATGTGAATCCGCTTCTGGTTGAAGAAGATGATTTCATAGTTAAGTCTCTTTGTTTTATTTTTAGGGTTTTATCTTTTAGTTGCTCATCAAATTGATCTCCACTTGATATTGATTTAAAGTCTTCATGAAGATGTACTCCTTGAAAATTTAGAGTTTTAAAGAGTAAATTTTTGAGTTCCATTACATTTTTTTGGCAGATCGTGTAATTAAGATTTTGCAATTATAGAGTGTGTCCTGAGTACTTGGGAGAGTTATTTAGTTACTTGGTGAGTGAATGATTGAAAAATTTTACAGTATTTTGATTATTAGATTTTGATAATAATGTCTTAGAACACTAGTATACAATATGCTTTTATGGAAAATTTTGGCTCATTTAAAGTCTAGAGTCAAAAGTTTTTCCTTTAAGGAAACCGGCAGAAATGATCTCTTTTTCTAACTTCTAACTCCAAGACTAAACTGTGGTGATTTTCCATCTTGGGTTAGGCTCCCCTTTCGGGAGCCCGCTCTTCAGACATTCATAAGCAAGTAGATAAAAAAATTGCTATGGTAATAAAGACTTCCAAGAAAGTTAAATATCTACTAAAGCAACTGTTTATGATATCTAGGTTGATAGCTAAGAGAGTTCTGCTATTGCTAAGCATATGACAAAATGGAGGTATTCTCTTATATGGTTTTTTGGGTGAAGACGTTGTTCAAATGAAGTTATTGAATTCTGTTTTCTTGATTAAATGAAGTATAGAGATGGCTTATTGATTGTGAAAGGTGATTGTAACTGTTAGCTACTAGTAGCAAAATTTAGGTTTCCTCCCATACTAGAGTAATTAGCTAGATTTTATAGGAAAGTTTTGAAAATGATTCAAATGTGCATTCATGTACCAAGCCAGATTCTTGTACCGTGCCATTAACTTAATTGGTGTCTAGGGATCCAAGGTGCTAGGAATTATTGCAGAGTTACTAGCAAAAAAGAGAGGCACCTAATCAAATCATTTGCTTAATCTACTTCTTCAATTAAATATTAAATTCTTTTACTCATCTTTTGTCTCAATTGCAAGGTACTTCTTTCAAATCAAACTTAGCCCCAAGCTAATTCTTCTCTTATTGACCATATATTTTCTTATCCTCATTCTTCCTTTATATCGATTTCCTCATTACTCACTATTGATGGTCACCTCTCCCATTAACTATGGCATCATATACTCTGACTACATCAAATTTTGTGAGATAATGGTCAGATTTCTGTCTTATCATATCAAATTTTGCAAATTGTTCGGAATTCCTACATAGACTTGTAACCAGCACATATAAATTAAAGAGAAGGTGATAGAACATAAATCTAGCAGTCAGAAGAATGACCACTACTAATTACATTAGCTAGGCAACCTTTCTCACCCATTTCTATCACTGTCTGCAGCCTACATCTTCAACTCCTTAAGCTTAATTAACCCTTCAGAATCAGTATATCATAAGTTTACAGTTAATCACCACTCGAAGTTCATGAGAAACTTTTAACCTTATTTTACTGGCCTAGGGTTTGAAGAAGATGGTTTAAATGGAAGAGCAATCAGCTACTGTATGTTATTGGATTTAATGAATGAGCTTGTAACTTGGTACGAGGTTGTGGAACCTGTGATGTGGATGTGGAATACAATGCAGGCTGCAGCAATCTTAAAGGTGTGAGGTTTTCTTTTTTGCCATTGTGCTTGAGAAAAATACAGAGGATGATGATTTTTTTTTTTTGACTGGAAGCATGGTGGAGTTGGAGAGTTGAGCTCATGATTGCAGACTGCAACCTAACGGGTTGTCAAGGATGTTGGTCGATCATTTTTCAGATGGTATCAAAGGATTGGTAGCTTCTGAATTCAGGCAAGTAAACTGGAAAAATCGATGGGAAAAATCACCATTGATTTTTCTCAGATGAGCTAAGGTTGTAGAAGTTATGTCGGCCTATATTTGAATCTCATAACTGTCTCTATCTGCAAGGGCACCCATGGGTTGTAGCTATTAAATAATGTTGTTGCGATTGCATCAAAAGTATTCATTGGCGAGAATTATGCTCTACTTCCAATAAAAGTTCATCTTTTGCATTTTTGGAATACTTCAATAGTAGATGGCTAAATTGGTTTTCTGCACTTGTAAATTGTAAATGGTTGTAGTGACCCATTAGTATTTGCGACACTATTTATTGAAGTTGAGGGTGGAATTAAGGAAAAAGAATACATCCTAGCCTCCTAGCATACCCCGAATGAGCCAAGGCAATATGAAAACAAATTGGTTTATATTTAAACTCAGCATTTTGCAATTATCCTCGTGAGCCATAACTTTTTAAGCTGTACGAAAAGATCACTCCTGGGGAACTAATGCTTCACTTTTTAATCATGGGAGTTTGTCTTCTGCAGCTTTGAAATGGTTTCACTAGCATCCTTCTTGTTGATGCTGCTGTCATAGTGATGGTGGAATTGGTTTGCTGCATTTGTACTTTCAATGGGTGTAGTGATCGATCATCATTCCTTTCTGCAATTTACTATTTGTGAATAGTCAGTGATTAAAAAAAGGCAGAAAATTTTATGTCGTCACATCTTTATGGTCAATGGAGATACTGTAATGTTTATGCTGCTGTAGGTTTTCAGAATCACGTTGAAGTAGTTTCTACTGATGTTGGAAAACATGGTTGTTGTATGACCTGCATCATTATGATAGTAATGTTACAACTTATTAGTTCTGGCCGATTCTTTCATTCCTCTTGTCAATATAAAAAACATATTTGGTAGTTAGCTCCCAATATGCTGCAAAAGAATTTGTTTTGCATCAATGGCCTTACGTTGTGGTTTATCTTGAAAACTGCTTTAACTATTACCATGTCATGGAACACCTCGTCATACAATATAAACAGCCAGGGCTTTTGCACCTTGTGTGTCTCAAATCTATCATCAATGGAGGATCCTTGCCACTCTTGGATAGTTGGATGTTTCTTATGATTCCATAAACATTTTCTTTTGTCACTATTATGGTGAATACAATTTTGTTATCACTCTTGAAAACAAAATGTTTAATGCATGATCCATTATGACAGATCAGAGTCCAAACAATTCGTGGGCTTCCCCTTCTCTGCAAAGATAATTCAGAATATGTTTCAAAAATTGTTGATGTTCTTGGGCAACTCTTGATATATGGTACTTCTTTTTGCCTGTCTTGGTTTGTGCAATTTTTTTCTGCTTATATATAATTTTTTGTAATCATGGTTTTACTTTTTTCTTAAGAGGAAAATGTGGAGCGGGATGCGGTACATAAGGCCCTTATGTCTCTTTTAAGGCAAGATGTAAAAGGTAACATGTATGAATTAATCATGTTTTTGTCAACTGTCAAGTTTGTGATGTGATCCTATTCTTCTTGTCTGCCTAATGTTAAGCAATAATTTTTGTTTTGATGGTCTTAGCATTTTCTTGTCATGCTTGGTTGAAATGACATTATTGATGTTGTATCTCACGTATTCTCTTCCCAGCTGTTGAAAACATCTGTTGTACTAAGATCTTGTTTAAATCGAGGTTCAGGTCAAAGCTTATGGTTGGGTTGTGATCCAATTATGTTGGTTGTAGATGTGGAATGTTTTTCATGATAAAAGTAGATGGAAGTTTTCTTCTGTTCAGATGGAAGTTTTCTTCTGTTCTTCACCAGTTTGACAATTATTTCTTGTTAAAACTGTTACTTTTGGAGGCTAAATTCCAGAGTTAGTTTAAGTGAAGTTAAATTGCAGTTGGAAGAGGAAGAGTTCTTCAAATTTTGAAATGAAACATCACCAATGTCTTGGGATCCCTGTTAGTTATTCACCACAATGTAGAGGAGATGTAGTGTAGTGAAACTAGGCAGTAGGCATCAATTCAGAGCTTTAGGCTGGTAGTAAATTTTGGGAAATAGCACGATGAAGGTTTTTAGCTTGATCTAACAATAACCACTGCAGACACCTTATTTGATGTATATTTGCCCATATTTAACAGCCAATATATTGTCCTTTGGACTGACCGATTGACACTTTTCTTTTTTAACTTTCTACACCAGAATTCTTTTTTATTTATTAGGAAACCATCTCCAGAGTTCAATGCGGATTACTTTCACATTTAAGTGAAGATCGGATTTGGAGATAGTTTTCTGTTATATTATTATGAATTAAAACCTGAATTAACACCATGCGAGCTAAAATATGCAGTCCCACATGTATTTTCGGGAACGGAGTTGAGAAAACATGGCCCCTCTGCCTTCATTTAGTTTTTGTCCCGGAGGGACTATTGTAACAGATACCTAGTACAAGCATCTGTTACGACTTTCTCTTTGCTCCAAGCTAAATTGCATGGTTACAGGTATGGGGACATGTCAAATTTGTAAAAGGTAGGTTGTAAAAGGTAGGGTGTGAGGACACGGCTGAAACTCATGGGATAGAATCACAGTTCTTAGCTATATATGTAAATGACCCTTTTAAATCATAGTTCTTAAGGTTGAAACGAACACGACCCTTATCCAACAAGTTACAAAATAGATGTGTAGTGTAGGATATATATCCAAGAAGTGTGTGGCGAGTGTTTTAAATTAAACATACATTGTATTACTGCATAAAGGTCTGAATAAATATAAGCATATTCTTAAGGAGTGTCCAGGAAGTGTCGACACGTGTCGGGTATGCGTACGGCTCCATTTTAGAAGCATCCAGGTAACATAGGCTACAGGAATGAGATTGAGAGTGACTATTTGTTGTTTCCTTCATGTTCTTAATCTGGTCAAACACCCACATTTCTTAATTTCTGAGTCAACCATATCTGCTGCTCCTGTTGCCAGTGAAGTGAAAATTGTGGCATCTCTAGAAGGGTGTTAATCATTAAACTGCTTTAAAGATTAGACCTCACTGGATAGCTATGAATCTCCTATTAATAATCAATTATCATTTGGACAGTGATCATAAGTAGAGGAAAATGTTGAATCATTCACTCAGTTATCCTGGATGTCCTTCTATCCATCTACTGAAGACAGTCTGCCATCTCTGTTCTCGGTTATAGCACAGACAACAGTTTTGATTCATTGGCATGAATAAATCTTATAAAGGGCTACTAAAGATCTCCTAATAGCTTCCAGGTTTTTAAGGATCATGAACAGTTCAAAGTATTAGATCTCATTAACCCAAGTGACCTTTCTTCATAATCATGAATTTCTTTCTCCTATCTACTGAAGTTTGTTTGGAATCTTTCTGCCTTTATGATGTCTGAAAATTTGAGATTTTTCAATTTGATGTGAATAAGTCTCTAGAAATTGCAAAAATAAAAAAAATCCCAATAGTCTGAGGGTTATAGGGGGCGATCACAAAGGGAAGCATAAAGAAGATAGGTGAAGGTTTTGGTTTCTTGAAAGATGGATCCTATATGTTGTTTTTAGTTCTCAAAAGGGAAGGAGAAAAAGAAAACCACAGAAACAAATATCATTATATATCTAGCCTCTTTGATATTAAGCTCTTTTTTTCAAATATATCTGATATTCTAGTTAAGGTTTAATATGGTTTTTTTTAACAGCATATATTTTCAGTACCTACTGTCAACATTTTTTGCGCTTTTCATGTCCCAAAGACCTGCTCAACGAACTTGCTTCCCTGGTCGACCTAAAGAAAAAAAATCTGCAGCTGGTTTTAGAAATTATAAATCCATGATGTTTGTGCATGTGCGGAAAGTTGGTTTTTTTAATGGGGTTTGTGCAGAGGAAGCAGAATGCAATATTGTTAGCAGCTGATGAGATTGGCAATCTACACTTCAAAAGGAGGTGATAGTTTAAGTTTCTGAATTTTAATCTCCTTGGGAGCTTTGCATTGAATGATACTTCTTACTTGGTAGGCGGTCTTAAATTTCAAAATTTTAATCTTACTGCAAACTTTACTTGATTAATCGGGAGTTAACAGGAAAAACATTCAGTGGTAAATCTGGAAGCTAATCCAAGAGCATCAGAAAGAACTTACTTAGGCCTCAACATTTGCTGCGTTGCCTCTGTTAAAAGCAATAATATCAGAATATGCCATAACAGTCCATCTGAAACTTCTGAAAATCTGCTCTTTGCTGCTGAATGATGCATCCAAATTCAGGAACATATGGATCAAAATTACTTAAACTTCAACCTACCCGTTTCCCTAGACCTAATAGTCATTTGTTCTCTAGTTCTTCTAAACAAGTCATCTATCACTATGAGTTCATAGGCTACCTGGCCTTTTACAGTTTATCTTCAAAGAGACTTGTGTCTTCCTACACGCAAAAAAGCTTAACTTCAGTCAGTTTCCTGAATGCACCCAAAACTTCATTTCCGACCTTGCTAATCAAAAATTGTATCACAAACTTGTGCCAGAAAAACTTTTTACTGATGTACCATTTTCCTGGTTATTCTCTCAAAATCCATAATCATCTTACATGAATATAGTAATGTTTCCATGGTGAATATATTAATGTTTCCATCATAAAGTCCTGAAAGGGTATGGACCATGGTCGTATTTTGCACATACACTCAAAATCTGGCCCTGTAAGCATCGGAAATATTTTTGTGGCAGGCTTTTTTGGACTATTTGAGGAAATATCTGAGAATGATGATTTCAATTGGACCGTAGTGGCATCATTAAAAGCCTTTCATATACTTCGTCCTATAAATCATTTTAAATATTTAGGGATCTTTATGGGGACTCTTTTTGTTTAAAAAATTTATTTTTAGTTAGTCATTCTTCTACAGCATCACTTATCAGCTTTTGTATTCACTTTACAGCTTCATCAGCTTTTATGAGTTAGGTCTGATCAAATGATGATCCACTGAGTTTTCATTATATGACATCAGGAGTACCTGTTTACTATCTGATTTAGATATGACTATTCAGATACTTATTACTTACGTTATGATTCAATAATATAGTACATGTGCACCTTCTGAGCCTAGTGTTTGCATATGTGGGGATAAGTAATGTTAAATTAATTTCGATAGCTTTTGAGTTTTGAGGAGCAAAATATATCTTACTTTGTCTCGAGCTTGACTACATCTTCCTGCTTAACATATTATTTTTTATTGAAACATCTCTGATCTTGACTGTAAGTCTTGCTTCATAATTCAATACTATCAACTTTTGGGTTTTCATACTATCTTATGCAAATGCATTCTCATCATTTCATTTTTTATTTGCAATCAATGATGCTTACAAAACTCATTTCATGTCCGATATGTACTACACTTTTTTCCCTTTATGTCTAACTAGAAATTTTTGTTCATGCAGCTTCTTTAACAGCTTTGCTTAAGCATGTTGAGATGGGCATGGAAAACATCCGTGAAAAAGTTATCTGTTTCCTTAAGGACAAGGTAGCGACATATCGTTCAGCTTTCTCTTTGTAGTATATCCTTTAAAAAGATTGACATCAAAGCATGTTTTCGCAGGTTTTTCCTTTGAAAGCTGAGTTGTTAAATCCCCAAGCTGAAATGGAAAGATATGTTACTGATTTGGTGAAGAAAGTAAGTACTAAAAAGTCACCTGTTTGTGTTTTGAAGTATGCTAAAAGTGTTAAACTCTTGTGTGTATATGCAAAAGAATCGTGATTGTCATTTTGTACAAGTATCTGAAAATGGGATTGTGAGAAGTCTAATATGTTGTATTTCAGAGCTTGCAAGATGTGACTGGTGCAGAATTTAAGTTATTCATGGATTTCTTGAAGACTTTTAGCATATTTGGGGAAGGTGCTCCTCCAGAGCGTATTCAAGAACTAATTGAAGTTATTGAAGGGCAGGCTGACCTTGATGCTCAATTTAATGTACGTTGTCATCCATAGATTAGATGACGTACCATGTTGTCCTGTTTGATAGGATATACAAAATTATGATGAGTTTCATTGGTTAATTTTCTGCTCTAATGAAAGATACATTATTTACTTGTTAAGCTGACAGTTTCACAATTTCATCATATTTTTGTAGAAACATTATTTTTCTCTTTCTTTTCTTTTAGGAAGTCACTTACCATGTCTGATAAATTGCCATATGAAGCTTGCTTTGGTAATGTCTATGTGTTTAGACAAATCAACCTTTCGATCAGACCAATCTGACCATTCGTCCTACTTGTCAACCTTAACTACTTACTAGTTAATGTAATTGAATTTACACCGCCTCACCTGCTTAAGCTAACTCAATATAGTGTAGTTAAAGTCAGTTACTCAAACCTGTCAGTATTACCTGCTTGAGACTTTTGTTTTGTACACGATCTTCATCTCTGGCCATGTAAACTTCACCAAGAAGCGTACTTGAGTTATGTTACTTCTTCAGCATTGAAACAAACTTGTCATAAAATACATTCATGTTTCAAGGGTACACAAGAACATTTCAGTTCTCTGGCTGCACTCTCTGCAGTTGTTCAAATGCCACTGGACAGAAGCATGATTTCATTTGTAGTGGTATGAGCCCCTATTATATGAGATCACCTCAAGTTTCAGCCTTGTCTTTTGTTACTTTGAATTATTTTTCTTAACTTAAGTTATTTTAATATTTTCTTTTTCATTAGTTTGACTTATATAACTATTTTGTGCTTTTATCTTATAGTCCTAAATTTTTTGTGTCATCATAGATTATTTACATTTTGTGTTTCAATATCATACTATCCATATTTTATGCTATTCATATCTAGCTGATTTGCCACGACCCTTGACTCTTTATTATATTATATATTATTATTATTATTTATATTATTATTATTATTGAGATTTAATCCAAAAATCTTTTTCCTTCAGCTATAATTATATTCTATAGCCTAGCAAACAAGGTTAATATTTTATGAAGTTTCAGGATGGTATTGCCATTTTAGAGGTTTAGGCTCATTTTCCGACTATTGGACAGCATTTTGTATTTGTTTTCAATGGCTCGTTCTGCTGGAGTTCTATTTCTTAATGTAGCCTCAACTACTATACCTGTTAATAATATGTCACAGGTTGATGATATTGATCATATTGACAGATTAACTTCATGCATGTACATGCGCCCTTCGTTGCTATGCTATGTCTATGTCCTGGATAATTTTCATTCTTTTACTGTTTGCTTATCTGATATTGGTAGCATTTTCTCCCCCTGCTTACGCGATGTTCAAATGTCTATACAGAGAGGTGCATCAAGCAGCAAGTTCCTCAATTATTTCAACAAGCACATAATACCTGTTTTTGATAAGGTATTCTTGTTCTTTCAATATGGAAGGTGGTGATATCTTAGGCCTTTTAAGGCTTTCTGCTTGTATACCTTTATCATGCAGCATTACTTTCAACCCTTTAACATGCTTCTGTTTTTGTTCTTTATATAGCTTTCCCTGTTAAGACACGACTTGACCTACTGATTGATTGCTAACTGTAAGAGAAAATACAATCTAGAGAATCTATCAATATTCAGGCTGCTAAGGCATGTTGCGTGGGTATGGGTATGGGTACAGGTACGGGACACGACAAATTTGCAATAGGGTACGGGGACACGTCTATATATATATATTTATACACACATATATTATATATTGAAACTTATAGTTTACATGAGATGCATTAAAATTCCTATAACATTTTATATTTCTTTTATTAAGTGGATTATGAATTGTAAAAATGCTCATGTTTTGAACTAGAAACCCAAATGACTATTAAAATCAAGTTGAAAGCCAATGAGTTTCAGGAAGTGGATGTAAAGTGATAGGTTTACACCCAATAAATGTTTGACAAGTGTTCTAAACTGAACGTGTATTGTTTAATTGAGTACTTGTCCAAATAAATGCATGCATATATGCAAGAAGTGTCCCAGGAGTTTGGTTATGGGTACGGGTACGGGTACGGGTAAGGCTTCGAGATTGAAGTACCCAGGTAACATAGCTGCTAAGTCTCATTGGATGCATTCCATATTGGAGGTCCTAGTCCAGAATTAAACTCCAACTTGTACTTGGTGTTTTAAAACCTTTTCTATCTTCGAGATGCACAGATGTTCTTTTTCACATTCCATGTCATCTTTGGGTATCATAAAGTACATCCTTGAAACGTGGTCTATCTCCTATTCTACATGAGGTTGATTTTTTTAAGTTAGGTCTTGCCAACTACAGTTAATTTATGTTCTGCCTGACCTTTTCTTGAATCTGCCCTCTTATGTAGGAAGTCTTAGTCAAAAAGTAACTCTTTAAGTTCTATGGAAAATTTAACTTAGTGAGGATAAGGTCTGTCCTTAAACTTTATAACTTCTCAGATTCCCCTCAGCGTCTTTTTTCGTAGCAAAGCTTATCCTTGTGAAGCAATTTGACATTTTCCTCCAAAATCTGCTGCTTTGAGAATCAGTGGGAAGTACAGCAACTATTTCTGTAGAGTAATTCAATTTTCCTTATTAGACACCAAAGTGGATAAAAGTGCAGTGCTTGTGTGCTAAGATATTTGGTAAATAACAATTCATAAAAGAAGAAATTAGTGTCAGCATGTTTTGAGGACATGGGGTGTAAACTCTATTGTTGAGCATTCTTGGAAAAGAGCTATACTGGGATGCACGGCCTTTTGGAAAGTCATGTTTTGGACGTAAGTGATTGTGCAAACTATGGCCATCATTATTGAGTTAAAGTGTCACATACTTCTTACTGTCGTAACACATAAGGTGTGGCAGGTGCCAATTTAGAGTTTCTAGGAGTCACCTCTAGATTTCTAGAAGTCCATCTCTGGAATCTAAGGGTGCAAACAAATTAGACATGGCATTTACCCTGTATGTATCTGTTTTGTAATAATGGATACAGAATGGATATTGTTTGCTATGGAAAATTTGTGTCCTATCAGAACGGGGTAGTGGATACAGACATAGATCAAGTAAAAAATATTGGTACATATCAGATTAGGAAAACTAGTAAAACTTGTATAGGTCATATGATATGCAAACTTTCTAAATATAATACAATCTTTCAAAGCAGAACCACTGATTTAATGGCAGTTTCGGGAACCTAGGATTTAACCCCTTGAAGGTTAAAATAATTTCATTTATTTATCTATCAGTTATCTAAATTTTTGTAGTATATCTTACTTGTTTCAATTCATATTGTTATCTGTATTGTACCAAAGATAGGAATCAATATCTGTATATGACTGATGTGTTTATTCAAATCTGCATCGGTAGCTGATCAGATATGGATGCATCATGCACATACATTTGCGGATATCCATATGGTTTTCATCTCTATTAGTTCTCGTTTGAACTGTTCAATATTTGCAAGCACTTTATTGTGAAGATAATATATTCACCTAGGATTCTGTAGTATGTAGCACAAGATTTGGATTGATCCCAGTATATAGTAAAAAGGAGTTTTTCCCCCTAGAAACCACCTTAAAAATAAGGTAGTTATACGGAATCCACCTTTCAATTTCAATTTATACATAAACCACCTTTAAAGTGGGATTTTATTGCAATCAACCACCTCATAGTCAAAATTTTCACTAAAACCCCAAAATTACCTTTAAAAAACTCACATTCAAGGATTGTGACTCATTTTTTAGTGTTCAATCTTTTAATGATACAACTCATATACATTGAACTTGAAATTTTAAAGATTTTTTTGGTTTTTTAGTGAAAATTTGACTAGGAGGTGATTGATTGCAACAAAAACCTACTCTAAAGGTGGTTCATATGTAAATTGACATTAAAAGGTGGTTTCTATATAATTATACCCTATGTTTAAGGTGGTTTCTAGGAAAAAAGAACTTGTTTGCACAGTAGACTTTTAGAGCACCACAAGTTGGTGAACTTCAAAAGCAGTTAAGAGGATAATGCATTAGCATACATGATTTGGTCAATGTGGTTTCAGCTGTTTTCATTGAAGTTTTGTGGATGTTTGGATTTTCAGCTGTAACAGAGTATAAATTCTTTCACCCTGTTGTGTCTAGTTTCTCTTACAGTTATTCTTGTTCCATATGGTAAAAGTCAAAGATTTCTGAGATAATGATATGGAAGAGAGCTATAATGAACATGCCAACTTTATTTTGTTGCTTTTGATCTTTTATCTTGTTATACATTCATAATAGTATGAGCATTTCATTTTGAAAATCATTCACTGCTACATTTCAGATACCCAATTACTCAATAATGTTGCTGGGTATATTGCTAAATGATTTGCATTGTGGAATCATCTAGACATGCCAATCTGTGTCTGTTGCAAGTGTTCACTCTCTTGCATGTTCTTTTCATACAAGCCTTAGTTTTCTTGAAGCTTATAGCATTATTTCATATATTGTAGCGTATTTTCATCTAATAGCATCTTATGCCCACTTTCTAGTGCTCCTAGATGCGAACACTTAGTGCACGCGCGCGCCTGTGCGTGCGTGCTAGGGTTCACTCTCTTGTGTCTGTTGCGAGGGTTAACTCTATTGTGTGTTCTTTTCATACAAGCCTTTTCTTGAAATAATTCTATTATTTCACACACTGTAGCTTATTTCAATCTAATAGCATATTGTACCTACTTTTTGGTGTTCCAATTGACGCAAACATTTAGACCGTGTTCTCGTGCGTGCGTGGGTGGGTGGGTGAGCGTGTGTGCGTGTTTCTCATCTTCTGTTATATTAAAAAAAGTAGAAGACCAGAAAACAAATTATTCATGGTTTAAAAACCTTGTCTTAGAAAACTGCAATATCACTTATAAGAAGTTATATTGTAAAATATACTGAATTATCAGTTAGCTATAATCAATTTCTTATTGCGGGCAGATTACTTTTCAAACTTTTTGATTTTATGGTGGTTACCATTTTGGTTCTTGGATCCTATGAGTCCGTTTCTATTTAAACTTGTATATAGAGTATCGTTGATCACTCACCTAGTCACCTTTGTGTTTATTATTTTCTTATGATATTATGCATTAGTGTTTCATCTTTCTCTATTCCAATTGGTGAAAACATAGCTTCTTTGTTTTGTGCACCAACATCATCTTTTTATAATTTATGCCTGTAGATCCATTTGCTGCATCAATTGTTCATTTATATACTTACATAAAATGTTAACCCTTTTATTTTATTAACTTCTTCTTAAGTGATCTCGCGGGCATTTCATGTTTCTCCTCCTAATGTTTAGTTATCTTTTACCAGTTTCCAGAAGAGAGGAAACTTGATTTACTCAAGACTCTTGCTGGATGTTCCCCTTATGCGCCGGCGCAGGATTCACGTCAGCTTCTTCCCTCTATTGTTCAACTACTTAAGGTATTCAAATTTCTGCATGTTTATTCAATTCTTTTTTCTCCTCATACTTTTGGGTTCGTAACTTTCCTGAAATTACCTGGTGCATTTTTGGGTTTCAAATCCTTTACTGTTGACCTGTTTCCTGATTAATGTCTTCAGTGGATCAATTGTTCACCTAGTAACCTGTCGTTATGATGGAGGCTAATTACCCTGACACTTGTCTGCGTTCTGGTATCTGTGTCTGGCACGTGTGTTCTCGTATCCATGTCGTATCCATGTCTGATACGTCTCCATAAATATGCATACATTTACTTGGACGTGTACTCATTATGTAAGATGTATTGGTTTAAGACACTGGCTCATGAACAACTAAGCGAGCAGTTTTCTTACTTATAATCTACTTAATAAATAAAACATAAAAATGTTAGGAACTTTAGTTTTCATAACATGCGAATGAAAAAATAAAAATGTTCTCATGTAAATTATTGATTTTAACATGTATATTTAGTCATGTCCCCGGTGTCCTACTTTATACAAATTTGCATGTCTCGTACCCATATCCATTCTATAACCCGCTTCTGACCCATAACTGTGTAACACAGGATGCATATTTCCAGCATCTAAATGATGAGAACTTCTAGGGAATGTTCGGCTACCAGAAAGTAAATAAAAAGTAGAAAGTACTTAATTATGACTTTCGATGTGCAAATCTTGTACGGATGATAGAAAGTGAAAAGATGTAAAGTTGACGTGGCATGCATTTTTTGTGTCTTGTTTGGTTGTGATGAAAAGTAGACAATAGAAAGTAAATATTTAAAGCTAAACGTTAAGGAGAGAATAAAAAAAAATTAATTTCTCTCCTTTCTCTCCACTTCCTCAAATTATTTGAGAAAATGAAAAGGGCTGAAAACGTGATATGGCACCCTTCACCTTCCATTTATTTTTCGGTCACCTTCTAAGTGCCGAATAGGGAAAAAAAAGGGGAAGTGGAGCCACTTTTTAATTTGCGATTCACTTTCAGGTTGCCAAACATGCACCTGCTGATTTTATATTTGTATTAGGATTATTTGCTTCACTTTTAGATAAGTAGTAAACTTGTTTTTAAGGGTTCTTTTCACTTCAATACCTAGAGTTTCACCCATTTTTGATTTTAGTACACCGAAGTCCAAATCTACCAAAATTATACCCTCATCTACCTTACACTTGGTATCTTTTGGTGTTTTGACTTGTTGGCACTTCCATGAGAATTAGATTACATGATTGTTTTCTGTCAATTTTACCTTTAGGTATGAAATTCCCCTGAATTCCCTTTTTTCACCTTTGGGCAAATTTAAATTTCAGGGTACCAAATTTGAAAATGGGTTCAGCTTTTTGGTGTTGAAGTGGAACCCTTTTTTACTTCATTATTGGCAAGAGTGCATTATTTGTTTCATTTTTTCCCTCTATTCTTTGCAGAAACACATGCCAAGGAAGAAGATAGAAGAAGCAAATTTTAATTATGTTGAATGCTTATTGTACACATTTCACCACTTATCCCACAAGGTCATTTTTCTGCAGAGTCTTGTTTCTCTTGATAACTTCAAGCTTTTCTTTCCATTATACTTTTGTCCCTTTCCTTCTTTATATGCTGAAATGTATGTGCTGCAGGCTCCAAACTCTACGAATAGTCTTTGCGGCTACAAGATTGTTACTGGCCAGCCATCTGACAGGCTTGGTGAAGATTTTTCCGAAAACTATAAAGATTTCACTGAGAGGTACTTCTTTCAAAATTTTTTCTTGTTCCTTCATTTATTGTGTATTAAGCAATTTCATCTTTGACCTCGCTTTTCCTTTTGGACGACTACTATCTGTCTGTCACAATAACCTTATCAAGTGCATACTTGGTAACTGCTTGTGATTGATGTCAATGTTGATATCTTGTGTGCTATATAATAGTTGATTCAGCAATTGGTGTTAGTTTTAGTAACCGGATTTCTAGAAATTTCAAGTCTAATACTGTGGCAGGGAAATCTAGGGCTCATGGAAATTTATGGCTCTTTTCTACAGTTGAACAGTTAGTCTATCATAGACAGGTCCGTCTGCATCTGGAAAGCACGTGCGTCTGTCACGTGGTTGGATTTATAATCATGGTTGCTTTGGTTTATTTACTGAGACACTGCGTAGGCAATATTGAAAGATTTGTTTGCGACTTACTAATGTGAATTTGATAGTTTCACTATTTTATATTTTCGTCCATGTAAAACACAAAGGCAACATATGGATTCACACTTATTACATGTATCTTCACAAAAGGACACTTTTATTCTTTACTTCTAACTGCAATAAAGTGCTATACGTGAAGCCCTGTTTGCATCACGGGATTTGAATGGCCTGCAACTCATTGATAGAACAGAAATCATGAGAGAAGAAATATAAAATATACAAAATTTCCATGCAGAACTTCCTTTCTTTTCTGTTCTTTTCTATTTTGTGGAACCAAACTTCAAAAAGATCCTAATATGCACCCATGAGGGGCCAATAGTTCTAATGAAGACTCTAAATGGCTTTAGATACGTTTGCGTGACTGTTTTACAAGCTTCTATATATTGAAATGTCTTACGAGACTGTAAAATCCCTCCCTTCTTCCCCATTTCTCCCTTCCTTCCTCTTTCGGTGTACTTTAATTCCTCTTCACAACCCGCGCCACTCTCACCTCGTTTTGAGGATTCCTCCTTTTTCAATCGCGCCGCCTCCCCTCCCAAAAAAAAAAAATATGATGTCAAATCATATATTTGTATAAAAAAATTATCATGGGGCTTCATCTAACAACATGCCGATTGTTACTGTTGGTTCTATTAGAATCTAGCTTTCTCAAGTTCCATACTTTAATTCTCCTCGTTTCTCTATATGTGCAAGTAGATTGATGAAGCATGCTTGTGCAGTAAACTGCAGTAACAATGATTGGTTACATTGGCGCAGGTTAAGTTCTATTGAAGATGTTGTGAAGGTAGCTATGAAGAAACTAACCCAGGGGATGGCGGAGCAGAACCAGGCACTGTCTGCAGCCAAGACTGAAGAAACAAAGGCTAAAATTGTGAGTTGCAATGGAACCATCAATTGTGAACTGATTCGGTCATCTCATAAATTGATTTAATTGTATTGAAATCTTTGAATTCCTGCAGAAGCTGGATCAGCAAAAAACTACAACTGGGCTGCGAGTTTGCAACAACATACTGGCAATGACACAGGTAAGTAAGTGACCTTTGAACTATTCCTCAATCACAGGCAGAAAATTTTTCCTACAGATGGTCCTCTATAGGGAATCATATATGGAGGAAGGAGATTGCAACAAGTGCTCATCATAGATTTTAAAGTTACCGACTACATTGATACATTAGTTTGACCGCTGTTATACAATATTGGTGTTTTGCGCTGATACAATACACTGATATTGAAATGATTGCACTGCTTTAGAGTTACTAGTGGGATACAAGCTGTGATCTTTCTTTCTATTTGATATTTTTTATCCCAAGTGGTCCTGTTTAAATTAATCAGTACCATATATTATCATTTCCAGCCTCTTCATTCAAAAGCTCCTACATTTATTGGTGATAACAAAATCAAGCTATCCTGGAAGGAGCCAGCAAAAGCTTTACCAGCCCCGACAGGGTAAGAGATTTCTCTCCTATTATTGACTTCTCTTGTTATGAGTTCATTCAAATTTCTCAAATGTGTGCCCTGTTGTTACTTGGACTTCAGGAGTAAACGAGCTGCATCTTCTACCAATGGTTCCGTTAATAATGCTAAAAGGGTGAGAGGCGAAGGGCCTGTACGAAATCAGCTGGTGAGCCGAGCATTTGAAGGTGTATCTCGGGGCGGTGGGAGAGACAATGGAAGAAGGGGTAGGGTTTGGGGAAACCGTGGTAGAGGTAGAGGTTACCGTTAGTTCATTATGCCTTCAGGAGCTTCAAAAATGATCATAGGCCCCGTGCTGATTATAATTTATGTGAAGTCAATGAAGAAGAGTGTAGCTGCACTCCAAAGCAAATTAATATAGCTCTTATTTACATTATCATGTAGTTTTGACATGACATCGTTCCGAAGATTGGAATATTAACGCAGCTGTACAATTTAGAGATTGTAGAGTATTTTTTTCATTTTGGTTCAAGGAGAATGTCATGGTTCAACTTCCATTTTATTCCATGCATATAGTGCATTTCTGGTGGTGGTAGTTTCATACTGAGTGCTGAGGATCTGTCTGGAGTTCATTCTGACTGATTGAGGAGATTGCTTCCAAGATGTACTTTTTAGTCATTGCTATGAAAATGTAAAGAGTTTAAATGTACCGCTTCGGCATGTTTGTAATTGGCAAGGGGTGACCATGAGAAACAGTAATGCAATATTATCAAAAGATGAAGGGTAGCAATGCCATTTTGAGAGGATTAGCTGCATAATTCGGTTGTTCATATTATGATCATAATTCGACTGTGCATGTTATCAGCTAGTAGGAATCCTAGTAGAATCAGTTCTATAATTCAGTATGGGGATGTCTGGACTTGGGATTTGTAATTTATTTTAGTGTGGGGATGTTTGGACTTGGGATTTGTATTTTGTCCTTGGAGTTCTCAACTAACTAGGGGTGGAAATGAACCGAATTCGAGCCGAATACACATTATTTGGATTATGATTCAGTTAATATTTTGATGAATTCGAATTCGAATTCTCGTTGAATAGGAAAAGAATGTTCAAAGTTGGTTCACTATTTGTTCGAATATTTGCTAAACATTCACGAGTAATTTATTCACACACTGATAAAGTCACAAGATTTTTAAACATGAGCTCTTTAGTTCCAAATCCTTTGTCTGACATAAATTTTTTGGCTAAAGGGCACTTATGAGAATATTTTAAGAAATATGTCATGACAACTAACATAAGGTATTAAGTTACTTTCTTACCACTTAGAATATTTAAAATGCTGTTTTTTATAACTAAGAATATTTAGGTGCAAATGTGGTGAAAGTGTAAAGGTGAAACTTGAATTAGCACTTGCCGCTATTCACTCAGTAGATGATCAGGTGAGATGGTAATTGGAGGAGGACTGATTGGTGATGCCAATTGCAGTGTTCGTTCGGAGATTCCACCATATCCTTTTCACTTGGGAAAGCAACTCTAGCCTATATTCTTTGTCTTGAATCACAGAGGAAGGGTAAGAGCTCGGATCTTAGATCTCCCCTCTCTCTCTCTCTTTCGACTAGTTTCTAGTTCTTGACTTTTCTTTTAGGAGGAAGAGCATGAGCAGGAAGTTTTTTAAAGAAACGAAAGGCAAGGAGATTGTCCGAATAATGGATAGCGTTAGCAAAATGGATTTCAGATCTATCGAAGGGAGTGCTCATCGCAGATACTCGTACCTCTTTTCCTTTGATTATATACTTAATACAATGTTGGTATGTTGATGGGGCCGCTTGGTATTTATGAATCCATGGTCTGCGCAGAAGAGCATTTTATTGAAGTACCATTTTTTTACAATTTAGGGTATTAAAATCTACTTTTTTGCAACTTAGAGTAACAAGATGTATTAATATGCTATTTTTTTACAACTTAGCATATCAAAGTGTTATTTTTTACAACTTAGGGTGCTTAAGTATAAAAGTAGTGGGACAATAGGGTGTTTAAATGCCTTTTTAAATACTTTCTTTAACATTTTACTTAATTGTTAGGAAAAATTGCTTCAAGGCCCCAAAATTCAAGTTTCAATGTGCCCCAGTCCCCCCAACTTCCCCCAATGTGCTGCAGCCCCTATAATTTGAAAAAAATTATGTCCAGGCTCCTTTCCCCAAGTTCATCCTCCAAATCCTGATTTTACCGCTCTCCCGCGCTACACCTCGCGCCTTCCCTCCCTCCGATCCCCTCCAGCCCCCTGCCCCGCCTCCCTCCCACCAGCCACCTCCCCCCCTCCGCTCGCCTCCTCCCCTGCTCTGGCTCCTCTTACACCTCCATCCTGCCTCTGTCCGCCCTGCCCCCTCTCCCCCGCCCCCAGCTCGCCTCCCTCCTGTTGATAGCAGGTTCCTATATATTTCCTATTATTTGGTAATATTTTGGTAACAGGTCATTGGGATTCCTAATCTGTTTTGGTAACATGATTCCAAATCTATTTTGGTAATAGGTTATTAGGATTCCTAATCTGTTTTGTTTTTTGTTTTAGAATTCATAGTATGTTTATGATTTTAGGATTCCTATATATATGGAACAATTGGAAGAGAGAATTGAGAAGAAAATTAGGGATATTTGGAGCACAGAAAAAAGGTATTTTCTGAGCTATTGGTTAGGGCTTTTTTTGTTTGGAGAGAATAAGAGATTTGTTGGTGAGATTAATTGGTGAGTTTGAGTGATTTATAATCTCAGTTTGTATTCTTGTTTGTGTTTGTGGTATTGATTTGGTTCGTTTGGCCTTCTCTCGACGTTCGTTTGATTTGATTTCTCGTAGCATGTTGGTTTAGTTGTTTGGCTTCCGCAGCGCACAATAAGTGGTATCAGAGCTTGGGCTACGCTTGGACTATTTGGAGGAGTAGGTCGTTTTGGAGGCTCGCCTAGGGCTTTGTTTGGTGATAAATGTGAGATTTTTTTGGCAAAGACTATCTTTTCCAGTTTTGGATCTATTCTTCATTTGTTCCGTATTTGTTTTGATGCTTTGAGAAAGATGGTCGGGAAAGAAGGAGTTGTGGAGGGTACTTCCGACGTGAAGACCGTCCAAAGTTTGAATATCCACTCTATGAAGATAGATGTAGAGAAGTTTAATGACACAAACGATTTTTGTTTTTTTGAGATGTGAAGTCTTAGATGCGCTCAATGCACAAAATTTGGAAGATATTTTGGAGTTGAACGAGAAACCGGACGACATTGAGGAGAAGGTTTGGAAAAATATGAATAGAATGGCGTGTGGTGTGATTAGATCTTATTTGGCTCAAGATTTAAAATATGATGTGATCAATGAGACTTCGGCTAAGAAGATACGGGAGATCCTATAGGGCAAGTATTTGACCAAGAGTGTAGAGAACCGCTTGCATTTGAAGTGGAGGCTTTATCGCTTCCAATTGAAGAAGGGGATCTCCATTGGTGATCACATGAACCACCACACGAAGCTTCTTACGGGTTTGGCGAATGTAGATGTGATGATTGAAGATGAGGACAATGTGTTGTTATTGTTGAGTTCCTTGCCTGACGAGGAATATGAGACCTTCGTTATTATTCTTATTAATGGGAAGACATCTCTTTCTTATAATGATGAGGTCACTGCTGTACTTGTGAATTATCAGCTTCGAAAGAAGGATAAGGAGACTTCAGTTGAGCCGGTAACGGGGGCATTGGTCGCAAGAGCAAAGAGTCCAAACCATGGTAGGAGGTCGCAGTCTAGATGGGCAAATCTTGGAGTTCGTAGGAATCAGTGCACCTTTTGTAAAGAGAATAAACATTGGAAAACCGAATGTCCAAAGTTGGTTGATCGAGCCGGGAAGAATAAGGGGAAAGCTATTTAAGCTCTAGAGGTGAATGTTGTCAAGGCTAGTGGCAATAATTCAGATTAGGATTCTTCAGGCTACTCGTTATCTGCACTACCGTCAGTTTATGTTGCCGACTCTACAAAGTGGATGTTGGATTCGGGTGCTTCTTACCATATTTGCCATATGAGGGATTGGTTCTACAGCTTTCAGGAGTTGGAAAGAGGGGGGTCGTGCTCATGGGTAATGATCATGAATGTCCTATTGGTGGTATCTGTACCGTTCGGATTAGGATAAGTGACAGAGTGATTTAGGAGTTGGTTGGAGTGAGGTTCGTTCCTCAGTTGAAGAAGAACATCATTTCACTTAGAGCTTTGGAGGCAGCAGACTATATGGTGACCTTGATCGATTCACGTTTGAAGGTCACATTGGGGTCCATGATTGTGATGAAGGATGTCAGGAGGAATAATTTGTATTATTTGATTAGGAGCACGGTGTTTGATAGAGAGCTGATGACTTCTTTGGATTTGGCTAGACTGTGACATTTGTTAAGGCTGGGTTATTTGATTGGTTATGACGTGCATAGTTTGTTGAGGAGTGCTTTGACCTGCAGATTGAAGTCCTTTGAGCATATTGGTATGAGCAAGAAGACCGAGGTGGAGTTTGGCACTTCTATCCATCGATCGATGGGTCTTTTAGGTGGTGTTCAGTCAGGTATTTGGGGGCCTTCCAAGGAGGTATCATTGGGAGGTAATTGATATTTGATTTTCGCAATTAGGGATTGTTCTAGGCATTGGTGGGTTGCAACCAGGTCCCGTTGGTGTGAAGTCCTAGAAGTCAACAATAATTGGAAGAAGTGTATTGACAGAAAGGTAACCCGTCATTCTAGCTTTGGTAGGGGTTCTTTCTTGCATTTGTGCCGAGCTCATGACAGTTTGAGACACTTCATTGATGTTGAGACATTGGGGCGACGAGATGAGATGACAGTTTTGATGGGTCGTTCCTTACTGGAGGGGGATCAGCGTTGGTTGTCGAGCATTGGTTTTGGTTTTGGAGCTTTGACATATTTGGATCATCTTGGTCATGGGTTGCCGACTGCTGCGTGTGGAGATTTTGGATCTGGTGGAGCTGCTTTAGATTTTGGGTTGCGTCGGATATTTGGTTGCCTAGCATTTGGTCACATCGAGGATGTGAGATTTGATCTGATTGCACATTTGGGATTCAGAAGTTCGTTTCATTATCAGTTAGGATCTTCTGATTTTGCTCTGAGCAGATAGTCACATTTGACTCTCGGCAGGTGGATAGTGTTGATCAGATCGATCATTGGTTAACTATTACAGTTCCGAGGAACTTCACGTCTCATGTTAACTATTATAGGTAACATGTTAACTATTACAGTTCACACATTGAGCTCAAAACATATTTATAAAATTATAATAGTTAACATGTTATCTATAACAATTAACATGTTATCTATAACAGTTAACATAAGCTCGGATGAGCTAGCATGAGAAAGAGAAAGGGTAAAATTAGGATTTTAGGAGCTGACATGTCTAATCATGAGCCGGAACCATGATGGAGGGCCCTAGACACAAATTTTTCAAAAAAAAAAGGCTGCAGCACGTTAAAAAAATGTGAGGGACTAGGACACATTGAAACTTGAATTTTGGGGCCTAGAATTAATGAGGGGCTAAATTTTATAAAGGTAAATTAATGAAATATCATAATAACTCTAAAAATTTTA